CCGTAAATGAGTGACTGCACCTTTGTTATAAAGAAGTACAAAACATGTTTTGACTGATTCACATATTAGATTAGTTTGGTTAAATCTCCCATCACATTTTGGGCTGTTACTTGAATACGAAATGTAATATGTTTATCTGAAATGTAAGAATATTGTTTAAGATACTTTCCTGTTGGTACAAGTTAGTTCGTTTCTCATGTTTCAGGTTTACCATGATATGTAAAATATTTGTGTAAGTATGAGTTTGCAATATGTGTTGTTTCTCTGATTATTACGTTTATTAAGAAGCATAGATCTGTTCCTTTCTAACTCATTCTACTTTCTATTTCTTTATTTTTGCATGAACACCGAGCCAAAGAGTCCTACTTTGAGACTTGACGACGCTGTAACACCATATGGAGTCTGGCACATCATATTCTCATCCTACTTGATATAGAGGCGGAAATAACAAAATTATCCCTTATGGGATGCTGGCTGGGAAGCCAGTCAATTATTCCTTTTAGTTCTCATTGGCCTATCTTTTGTGTTGTTATTTGTTATGGATGATGATTGTTAAGTTAAGGGTACTGTAAGTGTTTAATTCCTTTGGTTGGTTTAGACCTAATCAATCTTTCAAAATCATAGAGCTTTCAAGTAACCATTTGCGGGGAACGTGAGGTCTAAATCTGTTTTTTTCGTAATATTTGAATAACTTTTAACTTTGAACTCTATTTCTTTCAATTCGTAATAGACTTCGAAACCAAAATGAGTTCTAACTTGGAAAACATTTTAAAACCATACAAGTCCAAAAGTCATTTTCCTGAACTATAGAACAGATTCCGTAATCAGTTTATACAAACTTCCTCCCATTTTTTACTTTTAGTCCATGACAAAAGTATCTATTTTATCCATTCATTTGCTTCTTCTTTTTTCAGATTTAAGCCTTTTTCTTTAGGGTTATATTTGGGGGAAAAGACAGGACTACCTATAAAAGTGAAACTATTTACCCTCCCCTACCCATTAAAAAATTCTACCCACTAAATAATTACAACTCCTACCCATTTAATAAATAAACGACAGTCACAAAATAGCTACCCACGCTTTTAATGCCCTACGTATAAAAACGCAGAAGCTGCTCAAAATTTCAGAAAATTAGCGCACAAACGTGGAAAAACGCAGAAGCTCTTCAAAATTTCAGAAAATTAGCGCACAAAATTGAGATTTCCACTGATCGAAGAGCAGTAAGTGTGAAAAAACAGATCGAAGATGCTGATTCGGATTTTAATTTCGCTGTTCTCTTCAGATTTTGATTTTGCTGTTGGTTTGATTTTGATTTCGGAGCTAAACTTCTGAATTTTAGCTGAAAATTCTAATCTAGGTTTGGAGATCTGGAGATCTAGAGGTCTGATTTCGCTGTTGTTTTGTTGAAATTTCGAACACTGTTGATTTCGAACACTGTTGAAATTTGCATTGTTGAGATTCAATTTTGGACATAAAAGTGATTATAACTTTAGAATCATGGAAAATATTCCAATTCTGCTGCAACATAGTGGAGAATGGGATGATAACAATAATTTCATAAATTTTCATGTTGATGCAATTCTAATAAAGACCTATTGGAAATTTGAACAACTTCTCAGAGAAATTGCAAAGCAACTGCAAAAGGACAGTAAAACAATAGTTATTCAGTATCTATTGCTCAAGGATATCCACCAATTACAATTTGTAGCGATATGAGTGTTAGTGTTTATATGGAATCGAAAAAATCAAGTGCAGGGATGACAACACTTCCCCTGTGTGTGTCGTTTGCTAAAAACACTATAGCTGCAAGCACCTCCAGTTTCGATGTTGCTCCAATTTCACCAGAAATTGCACAATTTGAAAGCACTGATATGATTACTACGTTTGATGTGCAAGAAGGAGATGACATCATTTTTGAACTTGATGATGGAAACATCATAACTGATCAATTTCATCAAAATGTTGAAAAAGGACAAATTTACGAAGACAAGAACC